AAAGGAGAACGCAGAAATAAAGATTAAATCTGTCTAGAAGATATGGATTTTTTTCATCAAGTACAATTGGATAGAAAGTAACCCCCTTCTACATTTAATTTTAGTTTTGTTGTAAAGCCTTTGGAATTTTTCTAAAATCCTGAAAAGATGATTCAGAAAGCTAAAAAAGGATGTGCCTCAGCATCTATTCCAAAAAGTGGAACAAAATTTTGAGAATTACCCTGCCCACATTAAAATTATACTTCTTTAAAATATCGTAATTCAAATTCCCCAGAATTCCATTTCAAAATCAGTTCAATGTTCAAAAGTAGCTTATATTTTTGGCTCAGGAGTAATTGTACTAACAGCTGGTTTACACTGTGAAAAGTATGCTTGCATGGGAACTTAGCACATTTGCCCACTTCAAATCCAGGGTGGAATATCAACTTTCATGAAAAAGTCAATTTAGTAAACAATGATCATTTGCAACTATTCGTTTCAGCTCTTCATTTTTTTCATACTATCAGACGGTTAGTGCAAAAACCATTATATTTGGCCACCAGCTTCTCTCGGTAAAAGATTTAAGAAGATCAATACACAAAACCATGTGTGAAGTTAACAGCTAAAAAGCAAAGCCACCAGATCTAATAGTAATCAGTCTTTGCCAAAGTGAACTTGTGAGATGTTAGTAAACATTATGTTCAAAGTAAAAAAGGGGTCTCAAGGTAAGTAAGTTTGGGGAGTGCTGTGATATGCAGAGCGCGCCATGTTTCTCCAGCGTGAGACTTGAGAACCTTCACAGAGATAACTGACACTGTTCCAGGTGGCCTGGCATGTGTTTCCTGAGCTTATTTGACCAAATATTGTCAGAATCCCTAAAAAGCTTTGGTTCCAACTAATACACTTAGAAAAACACTGCTCTCGCCTTTAAATTTGATAAGCCAGCTACTCTATGCAAAAGTTGGGACTGAATTTATTTCCAGTCTATTGGCAATGAAAACAGTTTTTATTTGTAAATAGCCAGAGCACAGATTAGTTTGACATTCTAAACATATTGACATTTAAACACACATTTAAAAGAGGCTATTCTTATTACAAACATCATTAGCTTCCAATTAATAATAAGAACAAACAAGGCAGATCTTGAAGATGGTGGTGTAGGTAAACTCCTGTACTCGCCACCTCCCACAACCACATCAAAATTACAACTACAATACACAACAACCATCAACCAGACCACTAAAAAGCCGGCTGAAGGGAAGTCCTACAACTAGACAAGTAAAGAAAGCCCAGAGACTGCTAGGAGGTGCAGAGGCGCAGAACGGGCTGGTCTGGCACCACATGTGCCGCTATTTTAATCAGGAGATCATCTCTGCGGAGGTGGCCCAGAGGAGCAAAAGGTCCCAGACCCACACCAGATCCCCAGCCCAGGGTCCCAGAGCTGGGAAAAGAAGTAAGAACTATGGGTTATAAAAACCAGCGTAGATTGGGGGCTCAGTGACACAGATGCTGCTGGAGACCCAGCTGTTCCTCTTAAAAGGCCGACACCAGGAACTGAACTTACAAGGTCCTGCTTCCTCTGAGTTCCAGCACCAGGGTGAGGCTCTGGGGGATACAAACACATATGAAGAGGAATTGCATCATTTGGCATCAGGGCAGGAACTTGGGGGCGACTTTCTCCCAGACAGAAGAGCTCACAGGGATCATTGTTCCTGTACTGAGACCTCACAGCTTACTAGCAGCCATTTCTGTTTGCTCCTCTCTGGTGATTCCCTAAGACCCCGCCTCATCCAATTTACAACCCTAACCAAGTTGTGTGGCAGAGGCTTTTGCAAATTAATGACCTGTCCTTGATCAGGCTTAAATCTCTCAAACAAGCTGCATCTGGGTCAGGGAGCTCCAAACCTATCAATAAAAGGCCCAAGAGCCGGCAACAGCACCAGCCTGCTTTGCTTCATACCTGGGCCTCATCTGGGCACTTCCAAACCTGATAAAAAGAGGAGAAATCTGAAGATCTCTCTGTCACTCCTGCTGTGTGGTCCCAGGCAGTGGCTGACTTTGCACCTCCCTGGAGACCCAAGAGCCAGTGTACCCAGTGGTCAGTGTCAGACCATACCAGATTACAACTCTACACATCATAAGTGACACACTCAAGGGGCAGACTCAGTGAGCACCAAAGCCCCACGGAACCAAATTCTGCTTCATAGGGATGTCTCCTGCACAGCAGCTCTCCCACTGTAGTTGCAGCCGGTCCTCACAGCCAATTGGCCTGGAGGTCAATTCCTCCCAGTAACACCAACAGCAATCAAGCCTCAACTACAACAAGACTGTGCTCACAGCCCACAAAGGGTTGCACCTAGAGCTCCCAGCTCAGGTGACTGGGGAGGCTGAGCCACTGGGCCCTACAGAACACCTACTACACAAGGCCACTCTACCAACTCAAGGAGACATCGCAGCTCTACCAATACATAGAAACAAATACAGTTTTAAGGTTATAAGATTACTCAATAACCTTCTAGAAACCTCCAAAAAATGGAAAAGGACCAGTCAGAAATTAAGCATACACTGACTGAAATATTAATATATAGGAATTCAACAGTAGAGTAGAGGATTCTGAGAATCAAGTCAACGATTTGAAATATGAGGAAGCAAAAAATACCCAACCAGAAGAGCAAACAAATAAGATTCCAGAAATATAAAGATAGTGTAAGGAGCCTCTGGGACAATTTCAAGCATACCTATATTCATATTATGGGGGTGCCAGAAGAAAAGAGAGAGCAAGATATTGAAAACCTATTTGAAGAAATAATGACAGAAAACTCCCCCTACCTGGTGAAAGAAATAGATTTATAAGTCCAGGAAGCACAGAGAGTCCCAAACAAGAGGAACCCAAAGAGGACCACACCAAGACACAACATAATTTAAATGCCAAGGGCTAAAGACAAAGAGAGAATCTTAAAAGCAGCAAGAGGAAAGCAGTTAGTTACCTACAAGGGAATACCCATACAACTGTCAGCTGATTTTTCAACAGAAGCTATGTAGGCCAGAAGGGAGTGGCAAGAAATATTCAAAGTGATGAATAGCAAGGACCTACAACCAAGATTACTCTACACAGCAAAGCTATCCTTTAGAATTGAAGGTCAGATAAAGAGCTTCACAGACAAGAAAGAGCTAAAGGAGTTTATCACCACCAAACCAGTATTATATGAAATGTTGTTGAAGGGTATTCTTTAAGAAGAGGAAGAAGAAGAAGAAGAAAAAGAAAAAGAAATAAAATATAAACAAAATAGCAACAAATACATACTTATCAACAGTTGAATCTAAAAATCAAAATAAACAAATAAGAAATCTAATGAATAGGATAAACTGGTGAATAAAATGGAATCAGAGTCATGGAAATAGAAGAGACTGATGATTCTCAGAGGGAAGGGGGTGGGGAGTTGGGAAGATGTTAAACAAAGATTTTATATGCATATATGCATTACCTATGGACACAGACAATAGAATTGCAAAGGCCTGGGGTGGGGTGGGAACCGGGTGAAGGGGGGCAATGGGGAGAAAAAAGAGGGACATCTGTAATAATCTCAGCAATTAAGATTTTTTTAAAACAATAAAAATTAAAAAAATAATTTAAAAAAAGAACAAACAAGGCAATGAAAGTGATTGTGGCTTTAAGGTTAGAGAATTTCACTTTGATGACTTGGAGAGGCAGATGAATTAGTGCCAATGGGGCAGGGCTTTGTTTAGACTGTGGACCTCTAGTCAGAGCCAACAGTGGTTTGAGGAACTATAGATGAGCAGATAGGGGCATTTGTAGTTAGGCTTGCTGATCTGCAATGGGGTGCTTTTCAAATAAGAGTTGCCCATATTTCCCAGCCCAAATTATACGGTGGGTCTGTAAACAATTGAAACTTCTGACTTCTGATCCCAGCACTGAGGAAGAGGAGGAAGATTAAAGAGTTGCCAAGCCATAACAAACATTAAAAAGAAAACTGGGTTTGAAATTGGTCGCGCAGGGCTAGCCTGAAGACAAGTTCTTCAGTTGTTAGGAAACACTGAACCATGTTCTATAATATCATTCCTTATACAGGGATGCCCCTAACCAAATTGTCTTAAGAATAGGTCTGTGATCAAAAGCCAATTTAGTCACTAAAGTGCTATTAAAATGAGATGGGGTCAAATTGTTGAATACATTTTTCCTTTATGGTGTAGACATCAAGTGTGAAGACAAATGTTGCTTTAGTTCTGATGTCAAGTTACATTTGCTCTCTATCAAAATATTCAAGTTTTCTCTTTAACCACATTGAAATGACATTGCACAAAGTAATTTAAGAATATAAGATATAAAAATAAAATTTTTATTGAGAAGAGGAAATATTAGGTACAATTAAGTATAGGGCTGATGAAATGTATTACAATAACGAACAACTACAGATTTTGCAAAGGAAGAAGTTAAAAGTTTAGAACAGGTTTCCATACACAATTTCCAAGCAGGTCTAAGTAATAAGATCCCAATTTGTATGTTATACAGATCATTGAGAAAAAAGCTATTGCTTTATGTTTATTTCTGGTCATCAATTCACTGTGTCATGTAGATGATCCCATCTCTGGTGATCTGATCTTCTAAAAAGGTTCTCTCCATCCATAAGTGGGCACTTACCAAGAAGTCACATTGCAAGTAGGATTTTTTTGCTCTTTGTGAATTAAACAAAATCCAACGTGCTCCTACATGAATGCGATGGTTTTAAAGACAGCTGCTTGAACCAAATCTGGAAGAGCCCTTCCACTTTGAGGAGTGCTTAAGTCACATGTATACGTGTATAAAGAGTTTGGAAATGGCATTGGAATATGTGCACAGCATCTTTGTTAATAGAGTTTTGGATCTCATGTGAGCTAATAGAATCTATAATTCTGGAGGCTATAAAGTAAAAGCAATTATCTATATGGTATGGGAACCATCCTCATTTGAAGAGTACTCATTTTGCTTAGTTCTATCCCCCAAACAGAAAACATCCAACAAGAACAATTTCATCTACATTTATTTAATTATAACAAAAGTAGAACAATGAATACCAAATGGAAAAAGATATCCAAAAAAAGATGGTGAAAATGTTTAGAAACAGAAATGACTAATTTAGCTGAAGGAATTACCCAGGTGACATTAAAACACATTTGAAAGTTATAATTGGTTATCAGTATAAATTAAATTTAGTAACAGTCCCAATTCACTAATAAAAGTTATCAAAATATTTTCAAAATGTTACATTAAAATTTACACCCATAAATATTACATAAAGACCAAATAAAAAATCATATAAGAAAAATAAATAATGTATCCTGAAATAAAATACAAATCACGCTTGTCATGTCATACTCCTTTTTCCCTCACATATACTTGTGAAGATTTGGTATTTTGCACATTCCAAGATAAAGTGATGAAAATATATGTTGATGCAAATTTCTTCCACAAAAATAAACTATTTTGTATCTTAAATATTCATACGATGAAACATCAGGACTCCAGTTTCACTAATAAAAATGTTATGAAGGCATAAATTGCATTTGGTTTGACTCCTCAAATCATGGCTGAAAACTCTCAACAAAGCATTCTAGGCTTTTTTCTCTCACACCAACTGACCCAGAATATATTTTAAGAAATGTTTATTTTCTGTGCATATTTGTTTTAAAATTATAAATTCCTAAGCACTTTTTCTTCTTTCTCCTCATCACTATCAGTGACATTGACTTGCTGGATGCTAGAGGGAGTTGATGTAGGAGCTGTTAAGACATTCTCCAAGACTCCGATGTCGAGCTGAGGCATGGGATTTAGGAATTCTTCCCCACTGTGACTGTGACTATTATAGTAAGAGGTCCCATCCATGCTCTCACAACTCCGAGAATCTTCACTGTGTGTGCGTTCCTCTGGGTAGTCTCTGAAAGGATAGTCTCTATTTAAAGCTGAAAACATAGCCTCATGTTTTTGGTACCTGTCTTCATAATAACCAAGGCATTCTGGCATTGAACTTGGAAAATTTCCATAGCCAAAGGGAGGCCGACTATAGGGACACGTGCTGCAGCAGAAAGACAAAAAAGGAATTAGATCATGCCTTGCCTACATGTTGTCTCGCATATAGACTAATTGATCAAGTTTAACTGCATCCTCTGGAAGGTTCCCAAGATAACTTTCTGCTACCAGGTCATGTATTCATTTGCTCTTTTACTACTGCTTAGCCCTGACAGAAAACAAATGGCAAAGTAATAAGCAGGTGACTCACTAGACCAGTGGTCGGCAAACTCATCAGTCAACAGAGCCAAATATCAACAGTACAACGATCGAAATTTCTTTTGAGAGCCAAATTTTTTAAACTTAAACTATATAGGTAGGTACATTGTTATTAACTTAATTAGGGTACTCCTAAGGCTTAGGAAGAGCCACACTCAAGGGGCCAAAGAGCCGCATGTGGCTCTCGAGCCGCAGTTTGCCGACCACGGCACTAGACTATTATCTATCATCAGCCTTCGGCTTCTTTATGACAGCCTTGATAAAGAAAAATTACTTATCTGGTCCTTTCTCTCATGTTGCCTGACACCATGTAAGGTTTTGGAAATACAGGTATGTGCTATGCTGTTTTAAAAACTGACACTTAGTAAGCAGTGCAATAATTGTTCTTATGAATATTTTTTTCATTTATCTTTATTGTTGAAAGTATTACAGATGTCCCCTTTCTTCCCCCCCACCCCCATTGACCCTCTCCTTCCCGTTCCCATTTCCTCCCCAGGCCTTCCCCACACTATTGTCTGTCCATGGGCTATGTACATATTCATGTAAGTTCTTTGGTTGATCACTTCCTGCCCCTCTCCCTTCCTTCTGAAATACATTAGTCTGTTGCAAGCTTCAATGTCTTATGAATATTTAAAACAAAGCTCAGTGGTTGAGCACCAAACTATGAACCAGAAAGTCATGATTCGATTCCCAGTCAGGGCACATGCCTGGGTTGTGGGCTCGATCCCTTGTGTGGGGCATGCAGGAGGCAGCGGATTAATGATTCTCTCTCATCATTGATGTTTCTGTCTCTCTCTCTCCCTCTCCCCTCCTCTCTGAAATCAATACAAATGTATTTTTAAAAAGAGAACAGTTAACACCAGAAATATTTAGAACTGATATTAAATTGTGGTTTTAAAGATCTTTTCCAAAAAAAAAAATTGGAGGGCAGGAATGTGAAGAATTGGAAAAAATTATTTTGATGATTTTTTAAAAGGCAAAACACTGATAATTTTTTAAAGGTAAATATAAAAATTCTACCATTCAATCCATTTGTCAAAAAAATACTTTTTTTAAAAAGTATCTTTTCTCCCTTTCAAAGGCACAGAACAGGAATCCAGGAATTGCAGGAAGAGGTATATAGAAAAGTCCAACCAAGACTTCCCTGGGCTCATGGACTCCATCTAGTGACAGATAATGTAAACATAATGATCTCAGCAAAACCTATGACAAGGTGGGTGTTTTATTTCATGCTCCCACATTAAAAAAAAAAAAAGTAAACTTTGTTTCCTTCCCTTTAAAATCATAAGTATGATCAACATACTAGACTATCATCTCAAACTCTTGAAAAATATGGTTATATTCAGCGGTTTGGTGTCTCACGCCCCAAATCTCCAAGTACTAGGGACCTTGTTAAATATCACAAATATGAGGCCAAGTTTCTAAAATGCTTCAGGTTTCCATTCCTACTGCCACAATCTCATTAGGGCATTTTTAATTCAGTGCATATGTCCTGAACAATTGTGCTTCCAGCTACCATGACTTAGCTCCTGTACCCGTTCCACCTTAGGGTCACTCCATCCATGATACTTCAGGGGGTGCTCAAAGCTACCTCCTCCACCAAGCATTCACATCAGTAGAAACAATTCAACCACTACTTTTTTCCTGGACTAAATATAGGCAAGATACTATGCAGGGCTTGATGGAGAATTTGTTTAAAATAGGCCTAAAATCTAGGTGTATACTAGGCATGTGCTGAAGTCTGAAATGCAAACAACACATGGCTATATTGGTATGTTTTTTTAAAAAGTTAGTGTTATATTCAGAGAATAAAAAATATTAAGACAAGGATAATCCTAGAAGGTTATATAGATGAAAATGATTAACTAGAAGCATCATGGTATAGTGAGAAAAGCATCAAACAGAATTATCAGAATAATAATATTAGTCAGCATCTAATAAGCATTTATTATGTTTTCTAAACAGTGGCTAAGGAGTATATATGTTATCTTAAATATTCCTTGGAACCACTCTATGATATAGATACTGTAATATCTCCACTTTACAGATAAGGGAACGGAGTCTTAAAGAGATTTAGCAACTTTCTCAAAGTCATATAATTAGTAACCAGTAAAATAGAATCAGGCAGAACTTATTATCCTAACCTCCACAGCACACTACCTGGGCACTAGTTCTAGCTGTGCCACTTACATATCTGGTAATGTTAAATCTTAAGTTATCTGGGCCATAGGGCCTCCTTAAATAGGGGTAATATTGCCTGTTTTGCCAATTTAAAAGGTCTATCATAAGGAACTTGGGAGCACTCAATGTATATTGAGTACTTTGGAAACCAGAAACACTTTCAATGTATGATTAGCTTTAAAAGAAGTTGTATTTAATAATGTATTGCTAAATATACACATACATGTACATTTTGCTTTTATTTTCAAAAAGAAAGAATGTAAAGGTAAAATAAAATCTAATTAAAATGGTTACCTATAGGAGGAGAGAAGAAAGAGGAAAGGAGACAAGAAGGGAAGCCAGACTTCTCAAAATGTACCTTATATTATGGGGTTTAAAGGGCAAAAAAACCCTGACTTTTTTTTAAAGGCAAATCTGAAAATTCTGATTTTGAAACTATATAAATATTTTATATAATTTTAAACAAATTTAGTTTTTAAAAAATAGTCCCTAAAAATTGAAAGCAAATATACAAAGTTTACATCAAGCTGTAGGTGTCTTAAATATACAGAGAAAAGCTATTTCAAGATAATTTAAATCTGATATTTGCATTGCACCTTCCTGGTAAAATATAACCATGAAGAAAAAGAAACACAAATAAATCTTAAACTGCATTCAATAATTTTATTATGGTATCACTGCTTTGAAACTATTGATATTGTTTTGAAATATACTCTCTTCGTGTATATATGTGTATGTATATCAGAAAAAAACATGTTTGGTAGGATAAAGCAAATAAGTAATGATTTTATTATCATTAGGAACCAAGATTTTCATGGGGGAAAGATACTAGGCACATAAAATCAAAGAACTTCATGAGAAACTCTACAATATTACATTTATTCTGGAAATATCAATATAAACTCAAATTTTCTCACAAAAATACATATTTTTACTGAAAAGATCTAGATACCCTGTTAATTCAGTAGCAATATGCATGCCTACTGCCCAAATTGATATTTCTAAATATCACTTTCAGTAAAAGAAACTTGGACACCTGGGTAAAATGGTTGATTCCAGGTCTGGTATAAATAAGGTACCACATAAGTCTTTGTGCCAGAGAGCAAAAAAGCTATCAAATCAAAGATCAAGGACACAGGAACAAAGCCAACTGGACAAAAAATGGGAAAATTTGAGCATCAAAAGATATAAATAAATAATGACTGCAAAGTCTTAAAACATGTCAAATATAGAAAATGTTCATAATGATATTCCCAAAACAAAACAAGTATCATTGATATGTGGCAAGAATCAAGAGTTGATCCCGCCCTTCCAAATTTCAAAGTAATCAAATAGTTGATGAGGGAAAGCTTTTCTTCATAAAAGAATTCCAGCTAATGAATGAAGGAGTATCAAATCAGAAAATCTCATGTGTCTAAGGTAACAATCATCTTAGCTACTAAAATAATTATGCAGGTATTTCTCAACCTTAAGTGACCATTAGAATTACATAGAGAAATGTTGAAAGAACACTGCTGCCCAGGTTCTTAACCCCCAAAGATTCTGATTTATTTGGTCTGAGACCTTCAAGTGATACTACTGTACAGAAGAGAATATTTGAAACACTGCTTTAGGTGGGGAAATTTATGATCAGGTTGACAGTACCTGAACCTACAGATCATTCTAACATCACAAATAAAAACTTTATGTACCTCTTGATGTGATACAATACAAAGTACAAAGCACCACCTATGAGGTATCATTGCAAAAACAAACAAACAAACAAAAACACCAAAAAACTGAACCCGAATCTAATCCCGTTACAAGATATAACTATCATTTTATAGGAAAAATGGGTGATAGGGAAACATGTTAAACAATACACAAGGATGTAATAAGTCAAATTCAGAATGTGGGTAATTTCTTATTTCTTCAATAAACACATGGTATTTAAAAAAAAAGGTAAGTACTATTGTAGCATAAAAGAGGCTTAAGAGACATAATTACATCCCATGTATATTCCTTGCTTGGATCTTGTTTTAGACAAACCAATTGTGAAAAGACAGTTCTGAGACGATGGAGGAAAATTAAACAATAAGAAATTATTAATTTTTTAGGTATGAAAATTGTAGGAGATCATTTTTTAAAATCCTTAACTAGTAAATATACATACTGATATATTTACAGGTGAGATTATATGATGTCTATAATCCACTTTAAAATACTTAAGACACTTTCCCCAAAAGGTAGGGGGAAATAAATGAAGGAGCTAAAATGTTGATAATTGTTTAAGTTGTATGATGGGTACATGGAGATTATTCCATCTGCTTTGCATATGAAAATTTCTATAACAAAACAGTAAATATGGCAAAAATATTATTATTATTTATGGTTTCTCTGACTTAGTAATATGCATGTAAGGTTCCTCTATGTCTTTTCATGGCTTGACAGTTCATTTCTTTTTAGTGTTGAATAACATTCCATTGTTTAGATGCATCACAGTTTATCTACTCACCTTATGAATAAAGCTGGTATAAACATTCATATGCAAATTTTTATGTAGACATAAGTTTCCAATTCATTTGGATAAATACTAAGAAGTATGATTGCTGATCATATGGTAAAAGT